TTTCAGTTGTGGATGCATTTGTCTATCACATCATATTGGCGATATTTGTAAGGATGTTTGTAAAATACGTTATATCCACATGTGAACTATCGTTGTCTTCTCCTTGTTGGAACTCTGAAACATCAAATTGAGTGTATCCATCTCGTTCGTCTTTTACTATCATATTATGGAGTATGATACATGCTCGCATAAGCTTCCCAATTTTGACATTATTCCAAAAAAGTGCTGGGTTTTTTACAATGGTAAAGCGAGCTTGCAAGACTCTAAAAGCATGCTCGAAATCTTTTCGGATGGCTTCTTGATATTGAGCAAATGAAACCGCTTTCGGCCCTTGTGGTATTGGAATAGATTGGATAAAAGTTGCTCATTTCGGATAAATATCGTCGGTGAGATAGTAAGCCATATAATACTCTCTTCCATTGACAGAGAAAGTAACTGGTGGAGCTAGACCTTTTATTATGTCATCAAAAACAAGTGAGCGATCAAGAACATTGATATCATTTAAGGTACATGGAGGTCCAAAAAATGTTATATCCATAGATCATACGAAGCAACCGCCTCTAAAATTATTATGTTTTCCTGAACCACATGAATATTAAATTTTCCAAGCGGTGGAACAATTCTTCCACTCCCAAGGCATACAATCGATGCTTCCTATCATCCAGGGAAATCCACGATGCTCACCAATATCACGTAGACGTTGAAGATCTGCGGGTGTTGGTCTTATTAGGTATTCATCGCCGAATAAATATATTATTCTTTCCACAAACTTTTCCACACGTGCCCGAGTTGTAGTGTCACCGAGTCCTAGGTATTCGTCAACCGTATCAGCCGCAGTACTATATGGCAAGACAATAATAGCTGATGTACACTTTTGTTGTGTAGAGAGCCCAAGCCTTACAAAACCATATTTCTTTTGGTGAAAGAATTGAACTTTGTTGGAGATTCGATCAACAATGTGCATGAAAAATCGCATGTTATTCTCAAACGTCGTCGGAATAAATTTTCAGAATATATTGGAGTTTCACGAAAATAATCATTCCATAAATGTATATAGCATGCTTCACGGTTTCTTTCGATATAAACTTGTTTTTTCCTTTCCGGCCTCTCCTTTTCTTGACCAGCAAAATAACGACGAGATTCTTGAACGTTTGATCGAAATGTTGATCAAACTGTTGATAAAAAAACTGATCAAAATTCTCATCAAATGATCCTTAAAAATTGTTTAGAAAAAGATGCCATATTGTGACAATGACAAGGAAAAGTTTGCACAAATTAAGAAGGAATGTGAAACTATATTGTGTTGTTGTGAATACACTTTTACTAGAAGAATATGAGAAGGAAGAAGATTGAGAAAAAATGTGAAACTAGATTATGTTGTTTTTGTTGTTGTGAATAAACTTTCACTAGAAGAATAAGTTTTGAAACTAGATTGAGAGAATGAAGTAGATCTCAAAAAGTATTTTAATACATGCTTCATACAAAGTATTCAGAGAAAGAAGAAGATGCTTGTTGTGAATACAATTTCACTTCTACGAAGTCTTTTAAAGACACTGGCACAAGCAACAACAAAATAAGACATAATAATACATCAGCAACAACATAATAATAAATCCGTGACACTAGCAACACCAAAATAATACATCTGTGACACAAGCAAAACAACAAAATAACACAACCTCCGTGAAACAAAAGACAACGAAGTGATGCTTTTCCACTTCCGTGACACAATCAAACAAGAACATAAGACCACTTCCACAAGACATGTGACAAGAGCTGACACATGAATGCACCCATGCTAAACTGAGCCACCTGAAACAAAAGACAACACAACATAAGAACAATAATGAGATTAAGCTTTGATATATCAAAACAGAACAAACTGAAACTCGTGAAATCGAAACAGAATGGTAACACAACACAAGAACAACAGAAAAATAATACTAAATACCCAACATTTCTGTAATTAACTTCTTCTTTAGAGCATCTTCCAATTCAGATAATGGCTCTTTTTTTGCAATGAGAGTTTCTGGCAGACCCATCTTCTTGAGTTTTTCTTTTGATGCCAAGTCTTTCTCCTTAATTACCCACATGCTCTGAAACTCATAGAGATCCTTGCCATCTTCATTGGTTCTCTTAGCACTTCCTCATTTCGATGCCTTAACACCAGCAACTACCATCTTCATTGGTAGTTGCTTGAGAGCTTGAGGACTGAGCACCATCGTAACACTTTCTCTTCTTAGCGCTTCCATCAATCTTACTACTAGCTACTTCACACCATTTCTGGTCATACCGCATCTCCTCCAATGCATGTTGAAGATTGAATTTCATCTTGTGATCGTTGTAGAAGATCTCGTGGGCCAGTATAAAAACATCATTCTCCTTCATTCCACTTGTCTTCTGTCTTCTTGCAGCCTCATAGGATCCAGAAAACTTGGAAACAAGATCGTTTATCCTCTGCCACCTTTGCTTACACTGGATTGACTCTCGCTTTTCACCGCCTTAAACCTTTGGACTAGCTGTAAAGTAAGCAGCTATACGATTCCAGAAAGCACATGCTTTTTGCTCATTTCCTACAACATGATCATTGTTGGTATTCAACCATTAGCTAATAAGCACTACATCCTCAGTGAAAGTCCATTTCGTTCAAGTACTCGGATCATCTTCTTTGGGAGTGAAGATGGACAAGGAGAGTGGAGATCGAGTTTGGACTGAGATAAAAGCTAGAGAAGAAGGAGATGAGATTGATTCGAAGGATGGCATCGTTTGTTAAGGATCAGACGCGTCGTCCTTCGGAGATCACAAGAGAAGTGGTGAACACGAAGAAAGAAAGAAAACAATGAGAGGAAGAAAATATAAATTAAAAAAATACATAAATTCACCTTTATTCCGAAGCTGGCACGTGCTTTTAAAATCTCCTTTGTATGCGGTTCCGGAAATCACAAATTAAGGATCAGTTACAGGCAATTAATTTCATTTTGATTTAATTAAATGGCCCACTAAATTTAAAAACAATCAAGAGAAACCGGGATAATGGTGCTCTATGTTTTTAGAGTATTGTGAGAAGCAGCTCTTGAGCATCCACGCTTATCAAATATCCTTTCCATAGATCTTTGTGGTATCTATCAATCCATGTCGTTCATCTCACCCGATTGCCAAGCTTGAGAGTGATCCACATCCAGCATGCAAAGCACCATATGAATCCACTTCAGTCATCTTCCGATCAGGCTGAGCGTGAAACATGTCCAGCAGCCTGATTCCATCATCTCCTCTATTTATTTGTCTTATTATATTTGCGTTATCATCATCATATCATTTTTTTCCATTTTTATTCATGTTTGCATCATAAAACAAATAAAAATCTGTTCTCTTTGATTTCAGGTTGTAGTTTGGTTCCCTCATCCAACCAAATCGTGGGTTACCGCCCCCCTCCCCTGTGCCTACAACATTGTCACTGACCTCTGTTCACATTTCATATAAATAAAAAAACGCAAATAAAATAATAATACATAAAACTGAATGTATATACAACATTCATCCCACACAAGATGCGGAACTTACATCATTTATAAATGTCTATATAACACGATTATGACTTTTTACTAATCAAAATATTTTTTATTAAATTAATAAATTATTTTTAAAATCTACATCATGAGAAAACTTTCAGGGAAAGTTTTTAATGAGAAGATTTTCTTGAAAGTCATCTCGCTCGGGTTATAATAGTAAAGTACAATACTACTTTTTTTTTTGTTTAGTCATGAGGGAATGTTTGTAATTTCACTAGTTGATTGAGTTACTTTTGCATTTGATTTGAGTTAGGGTACACATTTGCATTTGAGATCAAGTTTTGAGTCATACTTTGCAAATTCTCCATTTTATTATAATCAAACCAAACTGGATTAGATTGGTTTGGTTTGATTATAATAAAATGGAGGATTTGCAAAGTAAATCCTCCATATTTTATAATCAAACCATACCAGATTATTATAATAAAATCAAACCAAACCAATCAATGAATAAATCTAATCTGGTTTGGTTTGATTATAATAAAATGGAGGATTTGCAAAGTATGACTCAAAACTTGATCTAAATGTAAATGTGTATCCCAACTCAAATCAAATGCAAAATTAACTCAAACGACTAGTGAAATTAAAAACATCCCTTCATGACTTAACAAAAAATTAGTATTGTAATTTACTATTATAACACGAGCGATCTCATTAGAAAACTTCTCTAGAAATTTTCTTAGATCTTAAAAATAATTTATTAATTTTATAAAAATATTTTGATTAGTAAAAAATCATAATCATGTTATTATAGACATTTATAAATGATGTAAATTTAGGGGGGGGGGTTAGTGGGAAGCTGATTCACACTGATTTCACAAATCAATAGATTTTAATTCTGTAAAGATTTTTATTGATTCTAACAATATGTCTTCCCATATTTGTAGAATCCATATATTTTTTTGGTCTGATTGCTGATGATTTATTGGGATTTATGTTAATTTTTTTCTACTCTAATTTATCTATTTTCCATATAATATATGCAAATATGGGATTTATGTTAACTTTTTTCTACTACTATTTATCTACTCTGGTTCTCCCTTTTTTATCTCTCTTTTTATGATCCATTTCTCTGTTTTTCATATATATAAGTTGTATAAAATAGTTTGATTGTTATTTGTTTTGCTTTCAAGTTACGTTTGGTTTCAGTATTTTATTTGTTTAGACTAGAGCATAAGATTTGATGTTTACTGTTTGTTTGTGATAAATATTTTTATGTGTATGTTTTTACTAATAATGATTAACTCCACGTAAGATTGCAATGGGGGATAAATAAAAAAATCAGTATAGCATATGGAATTCAGAGGAAACCAAGGTTTTGATAGAATTAGTTGTGGAGGGGATTCAACGTTGATGGCGGGACAGTAACGGTATAATGAACAAAGCAACGGTGGAACATAAAATACTACCAGTCTAGAATAAAAAATTTGGATGCCAAAAACCCCACAAGCGTTGCCAAAGCAGAATCAAGTTCTTGAAGGGTCAATATCAATGTTATGTTGATCTTTTAAGCAACAGTTCAGGCTTTGGATGGGATCCTATCATGAAAAGATTTGTGGCTTCTAACGAAGTATGAATGACTATTTAAAAGTATGTCTTTATTTTGCATCATTTTTATTAGATATGTTCCTGAATTGCAAGGTTTTTGTTAGATAAAATTAATTTTATGAGTTAAATCATATATGCACATGATATAATTTACGTGAACAAGGATCACTTTATGCTATAGGTTCACGTAAGTTCTTAAAGTGTTGTATTCTATAAAAAAAATATTTCTATTGTATTTTAAGTATAATTTTTTTATGTAGGGGCATCCAAATCATAAGTTCTTATGTTATGACTCTAGTGAAAAGTTTGATGATTTGAAAATCATATTTGATTGTGCAACTGCTAATGATAGTTCTTCAATTGGCTTGGGTGATACCACGGATGCTTGTGTCTTCACGGTTGATGACAGTCAAACACAAGAAAAATTGAATTTTGAAGACATCAATGATGATGTTTATGTTCAGCAACCATCCCCAGAAAATGTTGTTAAAAGGCGTGTGAAAAAAATTGTCTCGAGAAAACGATCTCGAACCAATGCATCTAGCAGTTCAGTTGAGATAAACACTGATCAAAGTGGTGCCATGGTAATGATGAATAGCAAGATCCTCATTTTTCATACAGCAGAGAGAAGAAAGACAACAAAAAGAAGTTGAGAAAAGAGAAGCTGAAAAGAAGAAAAATAGTGTTTGGGATGCTATGAAATAGGTTCCTAATTTGGATGGTCGTATCAAATTTAAAGCGGTGATCCTTATCTACTCCTTAAAAATGAAAGATGTCTTCACTGATATGTCCATAGAAGAACGCTATGGTTGGATCCAAAGCAATATCAACTAATAATGATCATCCAAACAAATGTCAACTACGATTGATCTTTGTTTTATTATCTCTGTTTTAGACTTTTTTGTTATTTCTTTACAACCATTCTAGACTGCCTTTTGTTATTATTTATAGATACTAAAGTGGTTTTCGTTTAATATATATGATGGGGTTTTAAATATTTTTTTCCTGCTTTTAGCAATACAAAATGTCACGCTGTTGTTATAGCACTTAGCTTATTTTATTGTTGTGTCCGTAACCCACACCCCCTGGGTTTTTAAATATTTTTTTGTTGCTTTTAGCAATACAAAATGTAACGCTGTTGATATAGCACTTAACTTATTTTATTGTTGTGTCGGTAACCCACCCCCCCCCCCCTTAAGTAACTTTATTGTTAGTGTCTTGCTTATTTTATTAGTAGTTTTTAAAGATATTTTGTGTATTTCCAGTTATTAATAGTAATCTCTTTTTGTAGGTGTTTTATCATGGAGAGCCCCTTTGAAGAAGAAGAACAAACGTATGATGAGATAAAAGCAAACCAAATAGAAGAAGATGAGTCAGATTTAGACATTTTTCTGGTGGTGTTAAATAACATAGCAACAGCGTATGTGAGAATTGACAATCGGATACAACGCCCCATTCATCAGCCAATCACTAACATTGGTTATGATAACATTCAAAATGCTTTGAAAGAGGACCCTGAGCACTTTCGATCACTATATCGCATGTATCCAAGCTCATTTAAAAAGTTTTGTGATCTTATTAGAATGAAGAAAAGTATAAGAGATACACGGAATATATGCACCGAAGAAATGGTGGCCACATTTTTACTTGTTGTTGGTCAAGGTCAAAATATGGGTACACAAAAGACACGTTCAAGAGATCAATATTTACTATCAGTGAAAATTTTCACAAAATCTTGCGTGCATTAAATACCTTAGCACCTGATTTGATGGTAAAACCTGGAGGTAGAACAGCTGCAAAGATAAGTGAGAGCACAAAATTTTATCCCTACTTCAAAGTATATATAAAATTTAACTAAGTTACGCTCAGTTTTTTTTTTGTTTAATTGTTTCTTTGAAAATCACTATTTTAATCTTTATAGGACTGTATTGGAGCTATTGATGGTATACATCTTTTTGCAATGATACCAACTTCTGATGTTCCAAGCTATCGTAATTAAAAAGGATTTATATCACAAAATGTCCTTGATGCTTGAAACTTTGACTTTGAGTTCATGTATGTTCTTAGTGGATGGGAAAGATCAGCTCATGATTCAAAAATTTTAAGTAATGCTTTGACAAGGCATGGTAGCAGGTTAATTAATCCTTCCAGAACGTATGTACTTAAGTTGTAGTACACAATTTATATATGTACAGAATTTTAATTTATTTACAAATTTAATTTCAGAGAAATTTTATCTGGTAGACTGTGGATTTGCAAATCCTCAAAAGTTCTTAGCTCCATTCAGAGATACTCGCTATCTTTTACAAGAATTTAGAGGTGAAGGCCGTGATCCTAAAAACTAAAACGAGTTGTTCAATTTGCGGCATGCATCTTTGAGAAACGTGATTGAGCGAATCTTCGGCATTTTCAAATCTCGTCTTTTGATTTTTAAGTCGGCGTCTCCTTTTCTTTTTACAACACAAGCAGAATTGGTTTTAGCTTGTGCTGGATTACATAACTTTCTACGGAAGTATTTTCGGTCTGATGCTTTTCCAGAGGAAGTGATCACTCCGAACAATGACCAAGCAAACTTTGAAGAATTTGTACATGTGGGTGCTCTCGAATCTCAACAAAGAGAATATGCTAACAACTGGAGAGACTCAATAGCTTTAAGTATGTGGAATGACGCTGTAGAAGCTGGAAGTCAGCGTTAATGGTTACTTCTACGTTTCTCACTGATTTATAACTTATTTTTTCATCTGTTATGGTGTTATTTTCTGGATTTATCATTTTAGAGAAACAAGTCATATTAAAATTATATGATTGAGTTACAAATAAGTTACGTGGAGGTTGAGTTTAGAAAAAAAAAATGTCGTTGAGGTTTGTTGGTATGATTGTTTATTCATACAATGTTTGGTCATTGAGAAACATGATTTTTATTCAATAGAAAAAAAAAAAAAACAAAATGTGGTGGTGCCTCACATATAAACAATCACGTATGTTAAAAGAGATATTGATTTTGTCAACTTTAAGAGTACATGAGTTAACTATAGTATTTTGGAAGTTATGTGTAATAACACCATAATTGAATAGAATTACAAAATCAGAAAATACTCAACTTTTTGAATAACAAAAGATTTATATGGAATTTTAAAATCACCAAAGCAATAATACAAGACTTTTTAGGAATCCAAGAATCATGTTACCAATAACAATGGAATCTTTAAATTCTTCAACTCCTTAAAAATCCATCTTCCACTAACCCCTCTTAGATTTACTAAAACTGAATAGTTTTTAACATATATGAGCGAATGCAAATTAATATGTATTCTTTCTTCCTCTCAAATGGAGGCACAAAATTATAATGTTTCCCACTCTAAAACTCTTCAACCTCTCTCTAAACTATTTGAATTTGACAACACCAAACTCTTATATCAATTTCTCATTCTATGTGTTTCTCACTATTTTATCTTGTTTTTTGAAGGTTTTTCATTACATAGTTGTTATCTTTCACTAATTTAAAGATATATCTATAAATTTGGGATATTTATTTTGTGTTTTTTATATGTTAGATTCTAATAAGTTATACATAATATAATTGTTTAAGTTATTATTTAAGCTTAAAACATTGTGATGACAAAAAAAGAAGCTTAAAATATTGTTTTTTTGATTTTTTTCTGTTTTGATATCATTTGAACTTTTTTGGATATGCATGTTCTTTTAGATCTGAGTAAGACATTGGACGAGTTACAGAAGACAGTGATTTTTGTGTGCTAACAACGATTTGTATGTGTACTCTTTAGTTGTGATTTGTTTTTGTAAATCTAAAGAAATATTAATGAAAAATATGGTAAATATGTTTACTTCTTAAAATTACTTGACATTATTAAACTAAACAAGAGTAGAATAAGAGTATGATTCTATGTATGTAAAACCAGTAATGATGTTTCTCAAGATGTAATATATTTGCTAACAATGTGTTTTCCACTTTTACAAAACAATGAAATAAAAAATTTCAATGGCCTTCAGACTCAAAACATGATGTTCATTGTGTAGTTTTTGTCATCTTTGGATCTCCTATACTTAGAAAAAAAAATAAGTTTGTAACTATAAACAACTTTTTCTTGTTAACTTACAATAGTTAGGAATTAAAACAAACAAAATATTTTAAGAAGTAAAACAAATAAATTTTGTAATTATATCAAACTAAGATATAATGAGTAGGTTAACTCTAACAACTTCAATTTCATGTACATATTTCTTGAAATTATTTAACAATTGTAATAGTACTTATCTTAAAAATACTTAACATTTTCAAAAATACAAGTTTATAAAACCTAACATGGAAGTCTTCTGGTAGAAGACTTCTAAACAAGTCTTCTCGGATTAGCTAGAAACATTAAAAACATGAAAGTTGGTAACCTCTAAATGATCACCAATCAAGTTATGAATCTCATTCAAGACCCCAAATATTGTCAAAAACACATGAATTAACAATAAAATTTTCATTGTCGTAGAAGACTTTCTTGGAAATCTTCTATTTAGGTCATTTTTTTCAATTGAAAATTTACAAATGAAGACTTCAGAGAAGTCTCCTCTAGAGCAGATTTCTAAGGAAGTCTTCCTTTGAAAATATTTGTTTACTTTTGTAATATTTGCTTACAACAGATTTTCGTGGAAGTCTTCTCAACTTTTACATTAAGTCTTCTTACAGTCGGAAGACTTACGTGGAAGTCTTCAATTAACTATATTTGATTTTTGTTGAGAAGACTTTTGGGGAAGTCTTCCGCTGGAAGATTTCCCTGAAAGCCTTCTGTCATTACCTTAGGTTTGACCAGAATCATGGAATAAAAAACTGGAAGATGTAAGCCTTCCAGTTTAAATTAGATATTTAAATTTAAATTTTCAATTGAAAAAGTAACCTACGCAGACTTTCACTTAAGTCTTCTAACCATAAGCAAAATTAATGTAAATGTTGAGAAGACTTCCATGAAAGTCTCTTGGCGGAAGACTTACCGAAAAGTCTTCTATAGAAAGTTAAATTTCTGATACATTTTGTTTTATTGCAAAACTAACATGTTTATCCAAGATGACTTCCAGAGAAATCTTCCCTAAAAACACACACAAAAAGTCAATTGCAAAACTAACATTTGCTTTGACTAGAAGACTTCTGTGTAAGTCTTCTCACGAACAAATCTGGGAAAACAATTCAATTCATACCTTCAACCACTGAGAAAACTTGTTTACTAGTTCCCCAAGCACACAAACTTCACCACGACAGCTATCAATCGTTAATGACTAGGAATCATGAACTCGAATGGCTATATGAACGTTAAAAACTTTAGAATCAAAAACCTTGTTTTTTTTTTGGATGAATATAGAAAGAAATTGAGAGAGATGTTGTTTTTGTGGACAAGATATGAGATAGAATGACTAAAAACCAATTTCTTGATGCATTAGGAGCTTCATATTGGTTGTTCATGATTGTTGGGTGAATTAATGATAGTGGCATTTTTGTGAATAATTGATGAAGATGAGGCTTATAGAGTAAACACACAATTTTCAAAAAAGAAAAAGTTGTGGCATTTACGTGAATAATAAAAACTTCTGAACAGAATAAGACAAGTTAAAGTTCAAAAAAAAAAATTACTTTATGTTTGATTTCGAGTTTTGAGTCAATTTTGCAAAACACTCTAATAAAAATAGTTGTATTTCAATTCAGAGTGTATATATTAACTCAATGTAGCCACAAAGTGATTAACTAACTAATCGAGAATCTACACCCAAAATTAGAGATCTAATTAAAAAATAATATATTAATAATTATAATAATACTATTATTTATTTTATAAGTATAAATTACCAACACTCAACACAAATTAATAAATAAAAGTAGACATCAACCTTTTCTTTGTGTGAAACTAGTAAGACATCAACCAGCTGTTACATTTTACTTACTTAATAAACTTATGTGTGCATGAATTTTTTAAAAACTATCATTATATTTTTTTTATGTATCTTTGAATTGATCAATATTTTTTTTGTTTCATTTGATTTTAAGAAAATCATACATTATATTATATATAAAATTACCTAACTATATTTAAAATTTAATGCAGCAACGAAATTAAATGTAAATCAATACTATTATTTGCGAAGTGATTTTTCGCAACGGAGCTTACACGTTGAAAGTTGGAGTGGTTAATATCGTTTATACCCTTAATGAATAAAATATATAAATCAGCAAAAAATAAAAAACGAATTTAATATTTATTTGATTAGATAATTGATTTAAATTAATAATAATGATAAGAATTATCCATAATATAAATATATATTTAAAATAAAAAGATAATTCCTATATT